TAAAAAACATACATTACAGATTCTCAAAAGTTGTTTGAGATTTTAGTGTAAAGAAAAAACTTTTCTATTTTTTTCCAGAATGCATAAAACCCTAAACGTTACACAACTTGCAAGATCATGTGATGATATATTCAGTCAGCTACTGCGAAGTGGAATTTCTCCAGAGGAGCTTTACAACACGGTTTGCAAGCAGGTTGATTTCATATTGTATCACTTTAACAATGTTTCTAACACATCTCATTTTCTCAATATGATATTTGTTTGCTTACTATTGTTTATTGCCTTTTAGGGAGTCGAAATTGTTCTTACTGCTCATCCTACTCAAATTAATCGGAGAACCTTACAGTACAAGCATGTTAGAATTGCTGTAAGTTTCTAACGAGGTTGACATATATAGGTTACTAGACTATCTTTGATTATTATACCTTAGAGTTGAAATTAGACACTTCTTAATTGCAGCATCTTCTAGAATATAATAGCAGACCAGATATCAGCCATGAAGACCGAGAAACGCTCATTGAAGATTTGGTACTCTTGATTCACCTCGGTATGTTCCTTATAATTTCTCAGCAAAAGCAGCATAAACTTACAAAAGTAATTATATTTTACAGGTTAGGGAGATAACTTAATTGTGGCAGACTGATGAGATTAGACGTCAAAAGCCTACTCCAGTCGATGAAGCTAGAGCTGGTATATTAAATCGAATTTGTAACGTGTAAGAAAATTTATTTTGATATATACCGTCTTTTTGCCTTGTGATATTCATCAGGCTTGAACATTGTTGAGCAATCTCTTTGGAAAGCTGTGCCACATTATTTGCGTCGTGTAAGCAACTCCTTGAAGAAGGTATGATTTTACTTAGAGTTCTAACATTTATTATAAATTTCAAGCTACTTAACCTTAAGACGACGATATCGATGTTTTGTATTTTGGTTTAGTTCACGGGGAAGCCACTTCCATTAACATGCACTCCTATAAAATTTGGTTCTTGGATGGGAGGTGATCGAGATGGAAACCCAAATGTCACCGCAAAGGTTAGCCTTTTTGATGTTTTATC